TCTCACTGCCATGCCTTGTGATGATTGATATCTCACCCAGCTTCTTCAGAACACCATGTCTTGTTCATTTTGTATCCCTAGAACTTAGCACATTATGTTTCATCTTATGAAGACTTAGAAACATTGACAAATAATAAACAAATGGATTCATAAATGGTCATAACCTGACTTCTTTTTCCCTGTAGGAATGATAACAAAAGAATCTGAATTTAAACGGGTGATAGCCAAGGAGAAAAACTTTCTTGCTCTTTTAAGTTTATATTTATGTTTGTATTTTAATAGCCTCATAAATAATCTGCTTATGATTTATAGGCTGAATTCTAATATTAAACTTTAAGCAATTGTCCAAATATGGAGCTTGAGATAAAATTATCCTGTGTTGTCTATTTCTTAGGAGTAAAAATGAAGGCTTACTGAACAACTGAAAATCTTTTATTTACAAGACGTTTTTCACAGACACTTTTGTTATATTTGGATTTGCCCTGTGGATTTATTAATAACTACCATTCTCTAAAAATATCTGGATAGAATGCTCCCTGCATATATAAAGACTGCACAAATCTACTATTTGTTATTGTTAATATGTGGTTTACCATGAAGCCACGACTGCCACATACTGCCTTGCCATGACATACCAAGGCAAGATCTGCTTCAAACTTGTAAAATCAAATTCCTATATACTATACCCATTGTTGGACAGCTGAATTTGTGATAATGCTCCTGACCTCTCTACTTCAGTGAATGGTTCTGGACATCATTCCCTTATTTCTCACCACTAACTCCCCATCCCCAATTCCTCTCAGATAAGTTCATAAAGAATTCACACGAAGAACCAAAGAGAGATGAAATATTAGCTTTCTTACTAATGACATAGTAACCACAAAGGGCTTCCTAGTATAGAGAATGATGCTTAGGCCCAAGGCCCAAAATATAGCACCATGCTGCTTCCATCTAGCATCAAAGACAACTTGGTGTAGAAGGGGCCCCTCTAACTAGCCACTCAGTCTCAGGCTATGGACACTCTTTCTCAACTGATAGTCTATCATCCACCAAATTCCAAAGTTTTATCTTCTAGACGTTTCTCCATATATCCTTTTCTATCTATTCTACCTGGAGCCTAGATCCAGCCCTTACTGTCCTTTGCCAGCACTTCGGTACTTATCTCCCAATTCCTCTCTCTGATTTAAGCCTTGCCCTGTGTCTAATCTAATCTCCACACAGCAGCCAGAATGATAATTCTGAGACTCAATTCTGATCATGTCACCCTCTGACAGCTTCCCATTCACTATAAAAGAAGGGTCAATCTCTTTAGAAAGACTTGCAAAACATTTCATGGCCTACCTACCTTTCCAAACTCATCTGCCCCAATTCCCCTATCCCATCCTCATCCCAGTAATATTAAACCACTTGTAGTCTCTGATAGTCACCATGCAATTGCAAGACTCTGTCCCTTTGTTCCTGTGAGTCCTTCTGTGTGAAATTCCCTTGACTCTACCTCATTTCGTTACTCTCATTCAACCTTGAAGATTTTGTTTAAAACACTGCTCCTTCCCTAACCTCAGGGAGCCTTCCCTAACCTCAGCCCTGGCTCTGTGTCCTGCTCCCTCAAGCTGAGGAACTTGCCCCTTTCTTCTTAAAATGCTGTGAATAGCCCCGTTGTGATATTGACCACCCAGTGCTGATATTTATTTTCATGTTTGTCTTCTGGTTGGGCAGGGGCTGTATCCCCAGTAACAAGAGGTCATCAGCACTCACGATAAGTTTGTGGACCTCAACTGAACTCTTTGCTCTTTCAAATCATTTATCTATCCCTTCATTTATCCATTAATTCAATAATGATTTATTAATGAAGTTCTTGGGTGTGAAGCTCACCTTCTTTCATTCTGTTGGATAGTATTCTGAATCCCCAGATATTTTTCAGCTGCATGGAAACAAATAATTTCCTCCCTCTCTATATATACCGGAACACAGAAAGAATATTTGTTTGTCACTTTCAAATTGTGATTTGTTTTTGAATTACCCGTTTGAATCTTTTTTATATGCTTCTTGTTCTGGTGACATAACTGACTGATTACACTTCGTCTCTTTTATGGGCACAGGCTCATATAAGTGATGCCACAGGACAAGCTAATACTCTGGAATTGTGAAACTATTGCTCCCCCTTGCTGGCTTGCATCTGCAGGAAATGCAAATCTCAACAGCGGCCATCAGAGTTAAATACATGTTGATAAATAATATTAGAGAAGTAGCATCAAGTTATTATTTTACAGCAGGTCTTTGAAGCCACTCATACCCAGACTATTGCTTCCTGCTTCAGAAGGCTTTCAGTCCACTGGCTTTAGCTGCTAATAGGCACTGATTTTTTTTTTTCTTAAATTCAAGTTCATAAAGTTTCAAGTTTAAAGAGATTTGATGTAAATCCTACAGTTTCCAAAGAAAATGTCAAAAAATACTGGGGAACTTAAAGGGTGGGTAGTTGCCTGTCTGTGAAAATCAAAAGCAGGGCAAACCAGCAAATATAGGCACCGAGCTTGGAAGTTGGAGAACAATGTAAGACATGAGCTCTCTGGGCCTCTGGCCATGGTAATGAGCAGTCAAGAGTGAGGGTGGAAGGAAGCCAGGAAGGATAGGGCCATGAAAAGATGACGAACAAAGGCCACTATTTAGGTGTGGCTCTCCTATGATGGGTCCATTGGGAAAGAGTAAGATTTGTCTAAACCACTTCAATAGATGAATTTTCAAATAATAAAAATAATCAGTTAATTTTGCACACCAGTACTTAGATTAATAAATACCCTACAACCTTATAGAAATATATTAAGTATATACACACGTTCACACCCCTATAAGGAATCAAAATACTTACAACCAGCCCAGAATGGGCCAACTGATCAGAATAGATGCCACCCATAAACACCAGTCAGGCCACCCTGGAGCACAGAACTAATTATAAGCCCTGAATAAACACAGTCCTACAAACAGCAGGCACCTCTTCCCTCCCCTGCAAAATTCAACATTGGCTTCCACTCTGGTTCCTTTCCCAAGCAGCGATGATTAGTGATAAAAATGTTAAAAGACAATCTGAAGTTACTCTTGTGCATGTTGGCTTTTTGCCTGAAGCTTTAAAATGACTTAAGGGTTTCTTGTTCCATTTTCAGTGTTCTGTTTGTCCTCCTATCTATTTCCAGGCCCTAAAGGCCAGTGAATCTCCCAGCCCCACTGCCCTGCAATCCAAATCTCCTTCCCTAAAATAGAAACCAGAGATCCTGAACGCTCCTTGGTCCCCAGCCTCAGGATTCTGAGCAATGCCTTCCTACTCATACTACTCATGCATCTCCTCAGGCACCCAGCATTCCAGCATTTTCTCCTTTCTTTACCACCATCCCCTCCAGACCTTGTTGCATGTCCAGTCCTCTATCCCTAAACTTTATATACTATTCCTTTTCTTTCTATTCAGTCCTTTAGAAAGAAAGAATAGAATAGTAGCAATTTCAGGACGTTCTGATACTCATGTAATTGTGCTATACAAGGGGGAAACTAAAACAAAAACAAAAACTTTGGGGGGCGGCAGACCTCCTTGTAGTACAGGCTTTCCCCACTAGGTAAGTGTTCTAAGAATCCATCAGCATTTGTGTACCAGCTAGCGTTGCTGTGAGAGGCTGGGTTCCACTTCAGTGAATTGTTTTTTTGGGAGTGGGGGCTATATTCTTTCAATGAGTTTGCTCATTTCATGTTGGGTGATTTATGAGCACACCTGCCACACCATCCTGAGTGTTCAGTCGTTTTTTACCAAAAATGGCATGACCCCATGCTCCACCTTCCCTATTCACCTGTTCTTCCCCACTCTACCCCACGCCCCAGCGATATTTTGTTATTGTTGTTTCCTTGGACGAAAAAAAATGCTTCAAATCTTCAAAGGGAAACACTTTGCTGATGTGGAAAAGGTGAAACAAAAAACAGCAGAAGCTTTAAAAGGCATTAAAATTGATGAGTTCAAAAACCGTTTTGAGCAGTGGAAAAAACATCTTGATAGGTATATTGCATCAAACGGAGAATACTTTGAAGGAAAGTTTAGACATGTAAGAATAAATACACAATTTTTATAAATAAATTCCAGGTATTTTGGGTCTTGCCTCATGGCTCCCTACACCATATTTGACTGGGAACATCTATTATTTATCCCATGCCAGGATAATGATTCACTTTTGCCATTTCATTTAATCATGACAATGCATCTAAACATTGTTTCCACTTTGCAGAAAATAGGGGTTGCCACTCTAAAATAAAAAAACAAAAATACTAATAAAACTGTCCAAAGTTATGAATCCTGGCCTTGATTTGACTGACATTTTTCTAACTCAATCAAGTGTTTACACATACAAGAGAAGGAGGTTGGCTCATCCCTCTACATCTTCACATCACTTATCAATCTCAAGTCAACAGAGCCCTAAGCAGCCCTAAGTCTGAGAAAAAGGCTAACCAAAATAACTTCTGTCTATCACTACTGAGGGGAAATAAGAGATTAGTTTGATAGATTACTGATGTCTGCTGCCATTTATTTGAATCAATGCTCCATTAGGTATTCAGAAATTATAAAAAGATCAGTGATGTTCAGTTTTGAGTTAAATGACAAAGTCAACAAACCCAAAGCATTTTTTTTGAAGAATTGTTCTCTTTCTTTAGAATTGGAGGGAAGGAAAATTAATTTATAGTTAGGCATGGGCCTCAAGGTAAAGAAGGAAAGTTTGTTTCTGCTCAGGACTGGCACACAGGCACATGTGTATGTGCTTGTGTGTGTGGGCCTCCCTCTGTGTATGTGTGTACGTACGTGTGTGCATGTGGGGAGGCAGTGGTTACATGCTGTAATCTAACTGCGCTTAGGTGGGTCTGGAGGTCTCCCCCAAGCCACCCTGTCACAGGAAAGCATGCACAGAAACAGCCTGCTCTCTAAAGGCATTAACTGCAAATTTCTTCTAAGATTGTGTTGTTTTCAACTTCAGGAATATTTACCAAAAAATCAGGGACCACGACCTCCTGGACAAAAGGAAAACAGTCACAGCACTGAAGGCAGGCGAGGACCGAGCCATCCTTCTGGGACTGGCCATGATGGTGTGCTCCATCATGATGTACTTTCTGCTGGGGATCACACTCCTGCGCTCATACATGCAGAGGTAAGGTCACAGGGTGGGTGGAGCCTGCCCCTTGTCTCCTCCTTCTCCCTCCTCCTCCCCCATCACTGCACCAACCCTACGGTCATCTTCCTCACCTTCTTTTCTTCTTCTTTTTTTTTTTTACAGTGCACAAATAGCAGTGTTAGATATTACAGATGCTACATAAATAAGTAAGACAAAGTCCTCAGCCTCTGAAGCAAGAAAAACAGAGGGTCATACAAAACTAAACCACAAACTTTTTTTCAGAGATAAGGATATTTTTAAAAATCACAATATGTGACAGCAAAATAATTTTATCCTAAACAGAAAGAATCTGTTTTTGATGAGACACTTGCAAGATTGACAACAAAAGAACTTAAAGAATTCCTTGCTTTCTTTTCTATTAAGAACTTAGAGAAGTGTCTGGCACACAATATTTTTCAATAATAATATCCAATAATAATGCTAAATACAGCTCTATGTGTAACCTGCCGATCAAGTGCCAGGGACCTTTTGTACATTACTTGTTTAATTCTCAGAACTACTCCATAAGGCATGAATATACTCATTATAAAAATGGCAAAACTGAGACTCAAGAGAGATATAATTTACCTGGTGTCACACAGCTCAGACATATAGCAGCACTAAGATTCAAACTCATCATCCCACTAATTCCAGAGTCCCTATTCCTGCCACTTCACACCTGCCTGCTCTCCATTTTTGCCCTTTTTCCACTCCACTTCACCCCTCCATCACCCTCCACATTAGAGGTTCTTAACTGCACGTTCTGACTTCCTCAGAAACTTTTAAAATGCTGGCGCCCAGGCCCTGCCTCAGAAGGTCCAATTTAATTGGTTTAGAGTAGAGCCCAGTCACCAATATCCCTTCAAGTTCCCCTGGTGATTCCAAGTTATGAAGGCTAAGAAACACTTCTATGCAACAACTTTTTAAAGCAACGTATTTTGAACTCTTTTCATTTTAACACTTGCTCTAGGTTCACTGAATAGACAGGAAAGCAAATAATGAGATGGTAAGTGTATTCCTGCCCGGAGTCAGCCATGTGATAAATCCCACTGGCATCTCTAGCTAACTGTTGTCCATAAATTGGACACTTGAAGCCCCGAGGAGCCCTGCCTTGCCATACCTAATGAGAGAAGTCTCATCTCAGTTACGCTTAAAGAAACAAGACCCTTTCCAATGAAAACTTGAGGTTTCAATCCAAAAGAAAATCAAACCATTTTATGGCATTTGTTTCTCCTTCTAAAGTAATACCTTCATTTTAGAAGCAAAATCTAGCTGAAATGCAATAATTTGCTGAAATTAAGGCATCCTCTTTCCCGTTTGTGGTGGCTCTGTTCTGTTTCTCTGATGGCCTTCAGCTGTGCTCATTCTCCGGAAGCGATGATGCCTCAGGCCCCCAGTGTTCACTGACTCCAAAACCACTTTCTGATCCTCACATCTGCTTAAAACCATCTAAGACTACTTCCCTCACTGTATAGCAAATCTGACCATCCAAGTCCCAGCAAAATACAATTTGCCACATCAGAGGGTTCAAGTCTAATATCTTGCCTCTGGAATAAAACTTCACACATGCAAAGGGACAGGAAGCTGTCAATGCATGTCCAGCAAAAGGAAAGGGTTTTTTTTACAAAGAAAACAGGTTGTTTTCCCATCACTATGATAATCAGCATCTACCCAGAAGCAAGCCATTGATTGCCAGTGTGTTACTTCCTAATTGCAAATGTTAACCTTGATCATAAAACTTAAGACATTTTAAAATGAAAAGTTGACCAATGGGCAGCTGGAATCTTTCCAGTTGAGAGAACCCAGGACACCCTTATGAATCCACTAGTCTGCATAGAAGGGTTCCTTAGGCCAGATATGGTGGCTCACATATGTAATCTCAACACTTTAGGAGGCCAAGGCAAGAAGTTTGCTTGAGCCCAGGAGTTCAAGACCAGCCTGGGCAAAATAGTGAGACCCCATCTCTTAAAAAAAAAATGTGAAGGGTTTCTACTGAGTTCATGGAAAGGCAAAACAGTACAACAGACTCGAACCTGGGCCTTAGAGAAACGCAGCGCCGTGTAGAACCACAATTTCCATCACTTACTAGCTATGCATCCTTGTATGTGTTACCAGATCACTCAACTTTAAAAGGAATTAATAACCAACTTATAGGGTTGTTGCAAGGACAAAAGAAGATAATTTATGTAAAGCACAAAGTAGGGTGAAAATGATGCACCAAGTGATTATTTTTGGTACAATCAAAGGGTTGAGCTATCTTTTTTCCCTTACCAGAAAGACCTTGGGCACTGTTCTTTCTTCTATCAAGGTGGACTCCAGACCCCTCCAACCCTTTGCCATCTTCCCTCCCCATCTCCCTGACACCTTCTCTGCCTACTAACTGGGCTGGATTGGGATTTGGGATGAAGAAAGCACAAAGTAAAACAGTAGAGGTAAGGGCTGGGGTGTGGCAAGAAGCCACCTACAATGCAGGGTGAGCACAGGTAGTAATTTTAAAGCCTGCCCTATGCTTACCAATGAATTCAATATGGAAAAATATATTCCAAGCATTGGGGAAAAAATTCTAAGCATTGAAAAATTCCATATCTTATGGAAGTCATTAAAAAAGTTCTCACGTGTCAAAGTTTGTCCATGATATGTTGTAAATGGTCTAAAGCTGCTCTATTCAAAGGCCTAAACTTTACACAGATTCCTCATAATATGGATTTGGAAAAGAGTTTTCAGATTCAGGAGCTGAGAAACATTTCCTCTGATTATGCCTTCCTGTTGTTAGCCCTTGGGTCTGTGTTTACTCTCACTCTTTCTCTGTAGTGTGTGGACCGAAGAGTCTCAATGCACATTGCTGAATGCGTCCATCACGGAGACATTTAATTGCTCCTTCAGCTGTGGTCCAGACTGCTGGAAACTGTCTCAGTATCCCTGCCTCCAGGTGTACGTTAACCTGACATCTTCTGGGGAAAAGTTCCTTCTCTACCACACAGAAGAAACTATGAAAATCAATCAAAAGGTAGGAGCTTGGCACACTACATTCAGTCACCCTGGAGAGTGGCGTTCCTGGCCCATCTTTCTCTGAAGCTCACCCTTGCCAGTATTTCAAAGGAGAGTCCCACCAGGAAGCATACAACTCGCCATTTGACTTTTGCCTAGAAATATTTATTTTCTGTGCAAGTTGTGGACAAATCATTCCCCCATTTTGTGATTGTGCAGATTTAGCCTTGATTTCCATTTGGAAGGGCAAAATATCTTTACTTACACAAAAACAGACTGAGTTCTTCAGAGTGAGTATACAGCTTAGGCCAAAAATCAGGTAGTTATTGTGTACCAGGGAACCATAGGGTAAAACTGAATCATGTCTTCCTATGGTCAAGGTTCCGTGACCTAGAGAATAGAACTTAACCTCTCTGAGTCTCCCCTCAGAGTTCTGTGACCTTGAGGATTTAACTTAAACTTTCTGACTCTCAGCTTCTTTTTCTCTCAAAAGACAACAAATGGCCACCTCGCAAGGTCGTTGTGCAGATTAGAACTGAGCATGGACTGTAGTTGATATCTGCCTGGGGAAGGGGGGGCACACCTCAATAAGGGTACCTGCACAATGAATATTTGTATACTTAACCCTGACTTGTACCCCACAATTTTAAAATAAAAATTAAAAGAGAGGGGGAAAACAAAGAACTAAGCATGGAAAATGCCAGTGTAGAGAAAACCTTCAACCATGGTCACAGTGTGTGAGAGAGGTGGGGGTGTCCTCCTTCATATATGTTATGTTCACAGAGGCTGAATGTTCCAGCACTGATATATTCAAGTCCACATGGTGGATGCTCAACAAATGTGTATTGTATTAAGTCTTCACATAAAATTTACATATATAAGGTATGGCATGACCAGTAAAGTGTCAGCAGAAACCACTTGCCGTTATCAATTTTCAGCTAAATATATTGAGCTTGGGGTTTATTGTAACATTTGGATGTTCAGAATACTCTTGAATACCAAGACAACCTGATACCACTCTAAGACACTAGGACACTTGGCTTTTTTACCAGGCTACAACCCTCATGAACACTAAACTTTCTGTTAAGGACATTTATGTTCGTTACAGTTGTCGGCGTTTAAATGTTATAGCTTATAGTTATTAAAAAATGCAGAGGCTTAGATGTTCAATGCTAGAACATCAGGAGTGAGTAGGATTTGTTTCTGATATATTGACACAAAGTAGAAAACCCACCTCGCATTTTGGTTACAGTAAGTTAAAAGAATTCTTGCAAATATCTCTGAGGACTCAACATAATGAATATTTCAGAGAATGTTTGAAAATGTTTGCTCTCTGTTTCCTTTCATTTGTAGCAGCCACAAATAATGCCAATCCTAACCTGTGCCGCAAATATGTAAAGCTTAGCTCTCTCACAAAATGTTTGACTTTTAAGATCTTCCCTCAAGTCAGATTTTTAAATCAAAACTGACCTGTAATGACAAATGCCTATAAAGTTCTCAAATCTCCAAGGAATTGGAAAGTGGCCAAAGGTGAATAGGCATCCAAAAATGGGACATATTTCCATTTTCTTTTTTTGCCATTTTATCCCTGTAGCCTTGTGAATATATTATTTCAGGTATAAACAGGAAGTAAGCTATCAATAAAAAGTCTCAGATATGTATTTAGGACCAGTATCTCATCTGCTCTCAGCATGGTACCAGGTCATCATTTGGTTGACTTGACCCATTGCCTTGTTTTTAAATGTAAATTATAGTATGCATTCAAAAGCATGCATGAAATGAAAAAGTATAGCTCAAGTGTTTATTAAAAAGAAGTAATGTAACCATGTAACCACCACAAGGGGTAAGGAAGTAAAATGGTCTCTGTACCCTGAAAACACTTTACATGCTTCCACTCTGTAACTGTAGGCTCTGCTTCCTGCTGAAGATAACTATACTAACTGTTAGGGCAATTGCTTTCTTATTTTTCCTTGTAGTTTCATCACCTAACCACATACCCTTAAACACTATACTTTAGTTTTGCCTCATTTTTAAACTTTATTTTGTGTGGCTTCCTTCACACAAAATTATGTTTGTTAGATTGTTCCATTTGGTTGTAGTTCATTCATTTTCAATACTGTATCATTTCGTTGTATGAATATGTTCATTTATTTATTCACTCTTCACTCTTCTTATTCACTCTTGATGAACATTTTAGATTATTTACAGTTTTGAGCTATTATAAATAGTTCTAGGATGAATACACTCATATATGTCTGTCGGTGCATAAGATATAGACCTGGGAATGGACTATCTAGATCGTACAGATTACACATCTTAAAGTTTAGTAGATAATGCCAAATGGTTTCCCAGAATGCATATACCAATTTACATTCTCACCTATCTTCTAGTTATGAAAGTTATGAGAGTTCTTATTGCTCCAAATATTCACCAACACTTGGTACTACATCCATAATTTTAATTTAGGGAATGTGGTGATATTTCATTGTGGTTCTGATAACTATAACTAACGTTGTCAGACGCCTTTTCATTTATTTATTGGCCATTCGGATGTACTCTTTTGTGCAATATCTGTTGAAGTCCCTTGCCCACTTTTCTACTGAATCATTACTTCTTTCTATTCATTGTAGGAATTCTTTAAATACAGGCCTTGGTTATATGTGTTGCAAATACCTTCTCCCATTATATGGCGTTTTCATTCTCTAAATAACGTCTTTCAATGAAAGAAGTTTCGAATTTTAAGGTAGCCAAATTGTGTCAATCTTTTCGTGTGTGTGTGTGTGTGTGTGTGTGTGTGTGTGTACGTGCACATGCACAGTTTTTTTTGTTCTATTTTAAAAACCTTTACCTACACCAAGGTCATCATTCCTCTGCTTTATAAACATACTGTTTTTTTCTGTCACATATAGAGCATAATTTGCCTGAAATTGATTTTTTATGTAGGGAACAAGTTTTGGGGTTTCTTTGTTTTTGTTTTTACATAGGAACAGTCTCTTGCTCCTATCCCTTTTTTTAAAGGACCACACTTTTCTCACCACCAGAATACTTTTATAATTTCATTTCCTCCACTATTTTCTCAGAAGTTATTTATTCTGTTACTGTTCTTTTAGTATTTAGCCTAGGGATTACAACTTGCAGTCTTAACTATTCAAAGACATTAAAATATTTTAACTTCACTCTTTTCCTAATTTATATTATCATTTTATATATATATATACTTGAAGCCCATGTAGAAATTACTATTACTGTTGTATATAGTAAATATTTATTTACATACATCCCCATGTTTTTCCATTTTTATTATTCCTTACTCCTTTATCTCTGTTCTTATATCTGCAATTATTTTCTATTTCTGAAGAATACTCTTTATTAATATTTTAGTACAATATCTTCTCTAAAGAATTTTCTCAATTTTCATTTGTCTGAAAATATTTTTATTTAATTTTCATTCTTGAAGGATACATCCACTGAGTACAAAATTCTAAGTTGGCTGTTATTTTTGGTTCCATTGTCTTCTGTTGAGTATTGTTACTGGCCAGAAATCAGCCCTCAGTCTAATTGCACCTTCTTTGAAAGTAATCTTGACCTATTTTAAAGACATTACTTTGGTTTTACAGTTTATTATGTACCAATATGTGTAGTTTTTTTTATTTTACTTGCTTGGAATTAACATTTCCAGGGCTTCTTTCCCTGTTTTTTAATATTTCTAATCCTTTTAGAAAATTCTGTCATTATCTCATAAACACTGTCTCTGCTCTTGTTCTCTCCCTCTTATCCTGTGTCTCTTGGTCATATGCTAGGCCTTCTAGCCCTATGTGTCTTCTCTCCCTTTTGTATTTTCCCTCTTTTGTCTCTCTTTGCTTCTTTCTGGATATTTACTTGTCTTCTAGTTTAGTCGTTTTTTCCTCGGGTCTGACAAATCTACTGTTAAACCCATCCATTAAGTTCTTAATTTTTCTTACTGTAATCAGTTCTGGACTATCCAGTTGAGTCTTGTTTTGTCATTTCCAGTTGTATGCAAGATTCTAATTTGTACCTTTTAACTCCTTCAACATAAAAAGTAAAATTATAATTGTCATAAACTCTGTTTTGATGACTTAAATATCTGAAACCCTCATGTGCCTGTTCTACATTTTTCCTTCTCTTGTTTGTTTTCATATTGTCTGACTTTTTCATTAGGTTTTTACATATCATATTTGTAAAATTACTTATAAAACAACTTTAAGTCTGGGATGATATCATCTTTTCCAAAAGTTATTTCCATTTGCTTCCACCAGGCCCCTGGGGGAACCAGCCATTCAGGATCCCCTCATTTTGACTTCATAACCTGAGATACTTAAATTTGAACTACAGCTCCTATAAGGATCTGTCTATTTCAGGTTGATCATAACTCCCAAAACATAGCCCATCAACAACTCAGCCCAAAGTGAATGGTGGGGATCATCAAGACCCCTATTCGATAAGCCCTCAATTATCATCCCTACCCATTGCTCTGCAAGGCTGTCAAAATGCTGTTTAGCCTCCTAGGCTCTCAGCCTCTTCCACAATCAGAAAATGCTCCCCAGGAAAAAGGCACCAAGACCTAGCTCACCCTCCTGGCCCAGCAGTTCTTCACTCTCTGGATAACTAGTCTTTGCTTTTAATCTGAAATATACACGCTCAAAATGCACAGTATCTCCATGTCAAAAGGTCATTAAACCAGCTGCTTGCAACATGAGGAATATTCAGGATATTCCTAGTAAAATAAATAAAAATTATCTCAATGTCAACCTTCCCTTCTTATTACCCCTCCCCAAGCTCACCAAAAACAGTGGTCTTCCTCACAGTTACCAAGATATGGGCCTGATTTTATAAAGATACATCGGACACTACTGATAATGTTTAATCCGAGACATCAGGAGGTGGGAGACTACCAATCAAGCTGTCTGCATCTTGGTAGAAAGACATTCAAAGGAATTTTATTTTTAAATTGTCATACTCTTATTCATATTTTTTTTCTTTAGCCTTTAAACCCAGTGC